AAAAAAAAAAAAAAAAAAAAAAAAAAAAAAAAAAAAAATCAAGTTTTACCTAGAATATTTATCAAACACAGTATATATGTAACAACCCAATTCCACCGCTAGCAGATATTGTCCATTTTAGCTCCTGATGTATCGTCGTTAGCCTCACAATTTTATAACGCGTCTACTAGGAAGAAATGTGAGATCTCACAATCCACCCCCACCCCCACCTCCACTCTCTTGGGGATCGGCATCTTTGTAGGCACGCCGCTCGGTGTCTGGCTCTGATACCACTTGTAACAACCCAAATCCACCCCCACCCCCACCCCCACCTCCACTCTCTTAGGGACCGGCATCCTCGTAGGCACGCCGCTCGGTGTCTGGCTCTGATACCACTTGTAACAACCCAAGTCCATTGCTAGTAGATATTGTCTGTTTTTACTTGTTACGTATCGTTGTTAGCCTCACATGCATCTACTTCAACCAGTGCCTTGTATCGTTCGGTGACTAATTCTAATACCACATACGCCCACATACGCCCACATACGCGTATGTTAGGGAGAGATGTGGGATCTCACAATCCCTCGCAATCCACCCACATACGCATATGTTAGCTCTAATACCACATCCCTTGCATCAAAACGTGGGATCTCACAATCCACCCACATACGCGTTATAAAATTGTGAGACTGACAACGATACATAACAGACCAAATATTTATTAGCAGTGGACTTAGTTATTACACTACACTTAAGAGTTTGAGTTTCGTACTATCAAAGAATGACGGGTTATATTTATCTCAGATAAAATTGTGACCACAAAGTGACTAAAATGTACAAGACTTTGGAATGTTTTGAGATCTCAACAATTCAATGAACCAGCATGTTAAGAAAACACACTCTATATTTAACTAAACATCTGAACATGCAATCCAATTCACTCTCTATTCCTTCAAAACTTGACGCCAATGTTCTAAGCCTTCTTTGTGCCATTTGAACTTCAGCTTTTTTATCATTGCTTTCGTTTTCTCTCCCATGGCCAAGGAGAGAATGGAGAGCAATATCCACACTCTCCAACTCATTTACTATTTTCCGTCCTTTCCCCGATCTCGACCTGATCGTGGGCATCAATTGTGAGACCAATGACCACCCGCTAGCCTTCCCCTTCGCCACCGACGTCGATAGGAATGCTAGAAGCTCTCCGAAGATGGAGATGCTGATGGTTCTTGCTTCTCTTAGCAGTCTGATAAGAGGCAACAAATCATGATTTGGTAGATCCAATAAAGGGAAGCTTGTTGTTCTATTACTTTGCATTTGCTTCAATGAACCGAGGAAGCTTCCAATGTCTTTCTTCGCTTTCCTTCGGAAGCTGAAGTGGGCACGAACGTGGCTTTCGATGCTCGAATCTGCTACTTTTCGACGTAAAGCCGATTGAAGGGTTTGTATATTTTGTTTCATCATAAGGATTATGTCTCTTGCAGAGCAACAAGAATCTATCAATATAACAGACTCAGTTAAAGCCTCTTCCACAAGCTTCCCCTCCTTATAGTGAACAAGAGCTTGCTGAGTGGAAGAAGACTGAACAAGCTCCCCAACAGAGTTATACAACTCTGCTAGCCCAACCAATGCAGCTCGAATCCCTTCGAGTCCAAAAGAAGTCGTTTTCGCATTGAAAGACGAAACTTGAAAGGATTTTAGGCTCTCCAGCAATGGTTCTGGCTCGAGCTCCACCCTCGCAGGCAAGCTAACCGATCTAACAGGCTGGTGGGCATCGGTGAATATCGATGAGATCACCATCCTTGGTGTGCAAATTGCTGAAACTCACAAGAGAATTGAATGGCTTGAGCAAAACCAACCAACATAACAGCCAATTTATATGGAAAAGAGAAGCTAACAAAGTCTGTATGCATGCATGTCAAAGCCACAGCGTTATAGACCAGAGGCTCAGCTCTGTTTGATTCTCTTGTAACAGTTTCAGCCTACAATCTGAGCATCTATGTCAAATTTTTTAATCAAATGCTCCACCAATTGGCCAACATCAAGCTCTGACAACAATATACAATAATAAAGTATTGAACATGTTGGCATAGTTGCAGGCCATAATGATACCAATGCCACCCTGCCTCCCCAATTATTGGGCTCTCCTAAACCCAACATAGTTTAAGATTAATCAAAATGAATAATCATGTGGGCGAAAAAAGAATCAGCTAATTCAAACCTAAATATTCTCGACCCATGTTTTGTCTCCACCCATGAAGAAGAATGTGCATAGAAATAAAAAGTGGCTACCCCTTTTAAATGGTGGCTTTGTTAATAGCTATAGCCATGAATCTAGGCTTACAATGAGCAAACATTGCTACTACCATTCCAATATTATAGTAATGTTTGTAATGCAGCAGCAGACAAAGGGCGGGGCATGCGGCTAACACAATGGGGGGAAGAGAAAGTTACCTAAAGAGCTGGTTATGAAAATCCACAAATGCTCATCAATCACTTTGTAAGAACTTTAAGAAGTCATTCTACAGTGGAGTTCTAACACAAAAATCAAGTAAACTATTGCTCTATAGAACACCATAATTTTCAGTTTGAGAGATAAAGAGTAAAATTTCTCATTATAACAGAGGGAAATGGCAAAAAAGAGAAAGTGGGCATGAGATTTTAAGTTAAGGGTTGGAGCAAGGAAGAGAGAAAACAAACCACATGGTCAAAAATTGAGAGAAGACAGTGAGGCCCCGGTCGTGGAGAGACGCCACGAGGGAGACATGAGAAGAGGTTCAGTCAGGCATTTTGTCGAACATGTGAAGGGCGCAGAGCGAAAAACAGAGCAAAAATCTTTACGGTAGCGGATGAATGTGGAGGTGCATGAATGTAATGCAATCCACTTCCTTCAAGGATAAGAATAATCAACGATTCTATTATCAGTCACCAAAAAAAATAATAATAATAATAAATAAAAGAACAAAAGAACGTAATTGTGTAATAAATTCATGAATTTATTGTTGGCTTCCATTTTTTTAAATGAATTTACAGCTGAATTCGTCAAAATCTTTTCATATCTTTATATTATAAACTATATAAACTTTATCCAAATTGTTCTGTCCCTCGGAAAGAGTAAAGTAAATTAATGAATATCACATTTGAGGTGAATCATATCCTATTAAAAAAAACATTTAAAAGAAATTAGAGTTACTATTCATACCAACAAGATTCAAGATAATAATCATTGTTGTTAAATCATACGAATTCTAAAGAGAAATATGTTTGGTTTAGAGTATTCATGTTCCATTTTTAAAAAAGATTTAAAAATGACTGATATTAGTTTATGAACATTAATAACCCTCTTAGCGTAATTAACGTGATTATATCACGAGAGATGCAGTGGAATGTTAAGGTCATTAGGGAATTCAGGTTCCAAATCTTGAACTTAGAACATTACGGAAACAAATATTCAAACAAATATTCAAATCTATATTTTTCAAAACTTCAATGTTAGAACACTAATGTTAAACGACTGGATCAATATGACACAGATATGAAGTACGGATGAACAGAGAGGGAGAGAAAAACGTACAGATGTACAAAATAATAATACTAATAAATAATAATAATTTGGTATTTATCAAACCATAAGGCTTGGCATTGCAATGTGGGTTCTCAACATTAAAGCCTGGCAATGAGTGGGTGTCTCCCAATTCTAGAGAAAAGAATCCACATGAATCAATTCCCTTTGACCACTCAAGATTATTATACAAATCATGTTTATTGCCCTAAAAATCACCCAGAATCTAGAGTTTTGTTTGTTTCTCTTGCAAAATTAATTGAATGTATTTTGTTATTAATACTCAGCACAATCAACTCAAACTCAACCTAAGTAAGTTAGCAACTCGACCCAAATCATAAATCATACCTTTTGAGATGAGTTGATCAACGTTTTTGGGTTCAGCATATTCTCCTGCCATTGCTTGAGCTATGAAAATTTACCCAGCAAGCTCTGATAACCCGGGCTAAACCACTTTGTTCACCAGCCAGCCAAATGCTTGTTGAGGTTGTTGATCCAGGCCTAAATCAGAGGAACTAGAAACGTGAGATTTGGCAGCTATCATCAGAACGAGTAAAGAAATAGAATTTGGTATCAGCTGCCATCAACATTGTCGAATACTTGATATTCTAATCCATTCCAAAAGTATAAATCTATAACCACAATTCATAACATTCGAGAAGACTTAAAGATGTCACTGCATTAAGCTACTAAAGCTGCAAAACTTATACCATATCGATTGGAGAGAGGAACGAGTGCCAGCGACGCTGGACCTCGAAAGGGGGTGGATTGTGAGAACACAAGTTGGTTGGAGAGAAGCACCGAACATTTTTATAAGGGTGTGGAAACCTCTCTCTAATAGAGGCGTTTTAAAAACCTTGAGGGAAAGTCCGAAAGAAACAACTCAAAAAGAATAAATATCTACAATTGGTGGGCTTGGGCTTGGGCTTGGGCTTGGGCTTAGGCTGTTACAATGATTATCCAATAAGAATATTCTTCTTCACAATTGTCCCACTCTTGAGGAAATGAGTCTGCATCAAGATTCTAGATCCAAACAAAAGTAGTAGCAGCGGGACCTTGGCTATCTACTATCTATGAGATCGGTTGGGGAGTAGAATGAAACATTCCTTATAAAGGTGTAAAAACCTTTTCATAGGAGACACATTTTAAAAACCTCGAGCAACCTAAAAGGGAAAGCCCGGAAGGAAAAGCCCAAAAAAGACAATATCTGTCCGTGGTCAATGGGCTTAGACCTGGGCTGTTACACTCATGTCCGTTCAGGAGAAATAAGAGGCACTCTTTAACGACATTGAGTAAAAGCAGAAAAATTTCAAATGGGGGAAAGGTAAAAGACTATGGAAAGCAAAAAAAAATCCAGAAATTTTCAAAAGATACAAACAGTTAATACGAAATGACCAAAGTTTTACCAGTTATATAGCATGGCTTTGCTCCCTCGCCTTCTTCAGTGACTTCAGTGTACTCTCCAACGTTGAATATGCAGCAACATCAGTCAGACTTTTACTCTCAACTGCATAATCAAACACTCGATAGGCTTCAGAAATTCTACCACTCCTGCAAAGCGCCCGACACCAATTGCCTCGCTGCTCCTGCCAAGTATCACGGTCATGCTCGTCCAAGGCGTGTTGTCCATTGCTGCATGCCCATACCTCGTCAAACCCTTTATGTTATTCCATGTTGTATTTGTCTAACATTGTATTTTCTGTTTGTATGACCATTCAGCGAAATCACGTCTCGGCCTACCAAACCTGAATCGCTTCAAAATGTACTCTAGGGAGATGCGACTAGTTGTCAAATTCTCCATACCCGAAAAAGTTATATACTACTTAAGCTATTGTGTTGCCTTTTACTTGTATGTTATATAACATTACTTTCAAATCCTCTCAATCTTGGTTTCAATGTCTCCTTCTAAATCTCTCCGTCCCCGTTTTCTAAAATCTTCTTCTCAAATCGGAGTGAGAGGTATGCTTGCCTACATTAACTGGACATACGCTACCAAGAAAAGTGGGATTGTGACAGCAAGCATACAATAAATCTTCATAATTGAGTTATAAACAAAGCAATTCAGCTTAAAAACCTCCTTAGCCAGCACACTAACCAACCGTGTCGCCTCACGTAGATCCTTGCTATTGCACACATTATCTATCAAGATAGTACAAGTAACAAGATCTGGCTTCGCGCCACAGCTACTACGCATTTCATCAATAAAACCATAAACAGTAGACAGAGCTTTGACATGCAAAGTTGTTTAACGAGATGATTAAATGTATAAGAATCAAGAGGCGACTCTATAGCTTCATCAACCAAACCTACCGAACAAAGCGAACGCACAGCAATATCCGTGGTTACCTTGTCAGGATTGAAGCCATTGTTAACCATGAAATTGAGAATTTGCCGAACCGAATCGAGAGACGAATCAGTACAGTACCATTCCCGGAGGTGGAGAGTAAGATATGAAACGTCGATCGATCCGATGAGGTTTCGTGGTGGTGACGAAGGAGCTGTGGAGCTTCTTGGCATCTGCAAGACTAGCCGATTTGAACACCGTCGGGAGTTTCGGCTTTCCAGGGTGGCCGGAGCTCTGACGCGAAGAGGTTTTCTGGCGAAGTTTTGGTGTTCATTTTTAATATAAGGAGCGGTACTCGCCGGACAAAAGCGGAGGCGCCGCCGGAGGACGAGGCGGTTGGTTAACGACCGTGGTGGAGAGAGCTGAACGAAACGATGGCGACAATTTCCCCATCTTCCAATTCCCCCGCGCTGATCGAACCAATTGTAAGGGTTTCTTACAGAAATTGAGATTTGCGTGGGAAAGTAAATGGGCCGTGGTTCGGCCCAACAAGATCACAAAAGATTTGAATGGGAACAACGAATTTCCCGTCTTTATTTAAATTTGAAGGTTACACCATTTATTAAACAGAGCAGCCATAGCTTTAGTGTAAGCGTAGCCATTTAGAAAGACCTTTGATTGTTGCAATCCAAGTTGTTGCCATAGCCAATGCCCAACAAGTCACAGTACCTCTTGTAAAACCCAATTCTATCAGCAACTCTGCTATCGGCACCACGCCCACACTCGAGCCCACCATTGATGATGTTGGTGATGACACCATACCCAGGCACTCTCCCGGCAGCACTGTCGGCGGCCGAAGGCTGCCATCTCCCAGTGATAACATCATGGCACGATGGCTTGTTTCCTTGTGGTGTCATCCAGAACCAAATGGCTGTCTTGAATGCAACAACCGCATCCGTGGCTACCAAATCAGGGTTGCCCAGCAAATTCAAATTTAGCGCCCTACCCGCTGGCCCGTAGTTGTAGTTACTACAAAACGTTTGATAATTTCACGAATTAGGATAAGAATTTCAGAATTTTGATAATATATTGTGTTATAGGAAGAACAGAGGTCTTACTGGGTTAGCTGAATTGGGCCACGGCCGTAATATTTCTGGCCAGCAGCGCATGGCCATTGCTGGTTTGGTGAGCAATATACGTCTTGGTTTCTCTCCCTTATGAAGCAATATCCCCACGCATATGGGCCATCCGGTGCGGTAGCCCACCCTCCTGCGCCACACTCGTTTTAATATTCATTTGCAAGTCAAAATTGCAACTTTTCAGAGAAAGAGAGTTTAATTTAGGGAATTTTCGTAAGGAATATATCTCGATTGAATCCCGCCTTTTGGGAAGCCCAGAACAAAAGTCATAAGAGCTTATGCTCAAAGTAGACAGTATCATAAGAGCTTATGATACTGTCTACTTTGAGCTCTTGGGAAATGAGGTTCGTGGTCCCTAATATGAGACCTCTTGGGAAATGAGGCCTTTTAGGGAAGCCTAGGACAAAGACCATAAGAGCTTATGCTCCAAGTGAACAATATTCTACCATTGTAAAGGTTCGTGGTTCTTAACATGGTATAGAGTTATGTCCTTAACTTACCCATGTCAATAGAATCCACAAATGTCGAATAAATAAGTTGTGAGCCTCAAAGTTGCAGTCAAGAGTGAGTGTTGAACGAAGGGCTATTTTGTTTTAGGGCTCTAGAGAAAGAGTCGAGTCTCAATTAAAGAGATGTTGTTCGAGGACTCCATAAACCTTAGGAGAGACTCTATAGTATACTTTATTCGAGTGGAGGATTGTTCTAATTTAAGAAATGATCGTAAATTTATAAGTAAGGAATAATCTCTATCGATATTAGACATTTTAAGTAATCAAAAGCAAAATCACGAGAGTTCATTGACACTAACCAGTGGTTTCATGAGAAGTTTGGCCGAAGAAAGCAGCGAGCTCCCGTTTACGAGTAGCGGCATCTCCAGTGGTACCAAAGGCAGGGAAGGATTGAGCAGCAGTAATGAAAGCATTGTATCTATAGAATCCATTACTGGGGCATCGAGGATCCTTGCTATACTTGAGCATTTGATTGTAAAGGGCTTCGTTGATGATACTTCCGACGCTGCCGCCGCCGCCGCCGGTACTGGGGGGTGGGGAAGGAGTGGAGCCGCCACACTGGCTCTGGCAATTGTTTTTACAGTACTCGTCGGTGTTGCCGCACCACCCGAACTGGCTGCAGCAGAGGCGATTGGGGCAGAGAGCGCCATTGGCCTGCCGCCCACATTGCTCTGCCGCGGCTCCCAAAACGAAGGCAAAGGCTAAGACAATAAGCGCATGAAGCTTCATTGTTGTTTGGTGTATGAGAAGATGAGGAAAATGGGAAGAGCAAGTGCAGTTATTTATAGGGAGTTTTCCGTAGAATTTTCAAACCCAATTCCAAATATTAAAATAATTTTGGATTATTGTTCACGATTGACCGCAACCTTGTTTATTAATGTCATATATATATATATATATATATATATATATATATATACATACATACCTAATGAGAATTCTCCTTAATTGACGGGAGTAATTGGTGGGGCCCACTCCGACCTAATTTGAATAGTCGTAAAATCATGATTAGATAAACAATTTTCGTTCATATATTGATAATAATTTAATTTTTATTTTAAAAAATTAAGGATATTTTTAGATAAATGGGGAGTTTTATTAATTTAGTCTAATTTTTTTAAAAATAATTATTATCAGCTGTGTTTGTATAAAATAAAAAATAGAAAATAAAAAAAAAAGTAAATAGATTAAAGTATTTGGAAAATAATGTTAAATTGTTGTGATTAATAATTACTAAAATAGAGGGAGTGTTGTAATTTGATTCTATTTGTTGATAATTTATATTTGTAAATAATTATTTAAAATATTATATCATATATATTTTCAGATTAAATTATATTTTGTTTGTTCTATATTATTGGTTAAATATAAGAGAATTGGGTGCATTTATTTATTTTACAAAAACATGATAGTTGAAATAGTGAGTGTTTAAAGGTAGAAAATTTATTCTTTTGATTTAATTGAATTTTATTTTATTAAATTAATTTTTTTTTAAATATCCATATTATTGCTACTATTATATGAATTAAATCTTACAAATTATTTTTTAAAACATTTAAGAGGGTTATATTTATTTTTTTAAAATAAAAACAAAATAATTATTTATTTATTTATTATTATAATTTGTCATTCTAGAAATTATAGCTTTAAAATTCAATCCATAGCTTTAATGAAACTATGACTAAAGAAAATTCAACATCTTAATTTTAATGTGGGTTTGAAAAATCAACTGTTGATAATATCTGGTATTTATCCATAAAACATAAAAATAATATTTAATTATAAATAATTGAGTGTAAAAAATAATTTCTCTTCAATATAGTATATAAACTTTTGATAATAATAAATTAAAGGGAATTTTTTGAAGGCTTGGGAATAAAAATAAAATAAATATAAAAATTGAGGTAGATGATATCATGAAAAATAAATTATGAATGTTTATTATTAAGATTTTAAATGATATTTGATATATATATAGTTTGTTGAAAAGTCTAGTGCCCACATTTTATTTGTAATATATATTAATTACACCTAAAAATTAAAATTTTTTTTTTTATAGCGTCCCAAGTTCAACTGTATTTAAAATTTAGATTCGACTCACGTACAGTTTTGGTGTAACAACACAAGCTCACTGCTTGCAGTACGTATATTCATCAGTCTCACATGTTTATTAAGAAAAAATTTCTACACTTTTATATAAAATGTTTTGTTCCATCTATTATGAATCACGACCCTCCATAATGATATGATATTGTACACTTTGAGTATAAGCTCGTGTGGTTTTGTATTTGGTTTCCCAAAAATACTTCGTAACAATGTAGATGTATTCCTTATTTATAAGCTCATGATCATCCTCTAAATTAGCCAATGTAAGACTCCAAAACAACAGTCGGTTGTGTCAGCTACGAAACTGAGCCTCCAATGAAACTGATCATTATAACTCACATCTATAAATATCTGGAGATTGGGCTATTACACCCTCCAACATAACTCACATCTATAAATAAATAAATAAATAAAACATTTTGAACCTAGATTATAGCCTCATTAATTACATAAAATCAAATGAAACACGCAAATTTATTAGAAAACTTATGTATATTAATAATAATAAATAAATAAATAATAACTAAATTCTGTAATATTTATTTAAAAAGTTAAAATAACTAAATTTTATTAGTAAATTTTGAAACAAAATTAATAGTTTTTTCTTCATTCGTATGAGAGAAATCCATTTAAAAAATTATATTTTTTTTAGAAAAATGAAGGGTGAAGAAGATTTATTAAATTTTAAAAAAAATTAAAAATTAAATCTATAAAATAATTGGAATATTTATTTATTTTATTTTAAAAAAAATCCTACAAGTAAATTAGATAAGAATTTAATGCATGCATGAACACATCATATTATTATTCTAATATTAAGTTATTTTTAGGGTCAAAGTTAAGCATGAAAAAAAAATTATTTGACTTTTCTAAACCCAATTTATATCCTTGCAAATGATTTTTAATTTTTCCCAGCCAACCTAATTTAAATTTTATCCAACTTGTTCGTAATTTAATAATATAAAATAGAGCTCTCGAGGTTAGAAATAGCATATAATAGTAATAATTATTTTATTATGCAAAGTCAAATTTAATTTATTTTTTTTTTTCGTTCTCCTCTCTGACCAACGTAGAATCTCGGACGCAAAAAGAAACCAAACTGATTTATTGCATAAAGATATGTGTGTAGACATTACACATAGCAAAACGGCCATAGTTGTCTTTTACAACATCAAAAAGACATTTTATTACATGGTATTATAAGATTAATTAGAAAGACCTTTGATTGTTGCAATCTAAGTTGCTGCCGTAACTGACACCAAGCATGTCGGAGTATCTTTTGTAGAACCCAATTCTATCAGCAACTCTATCATCGGGGCCATGTCCGCACTCGAGCCCACCGTTAATGATGTTGGTGATGACACCATACCCAGGCACTCTCCCGGCAGCGCTGTCGGCGCTCGAGGGCTGCCATCTCCCAGTGATAACATCATGGCACGATGGCTTGTTTCCTTGTGGTGTCATCCAGAACCAAATGGCTGTCTTGAATGAAACAACCGCATCCGTGGCTACCAAATCAGGGTTGCCCAGCAAATTTAAGTTTAGTGCATTGCCCGCTGGCCCGTAGTTGTAGTTACTAGAAAAGTTTGATCATTTAAGGAATTAGGATTAAAATCTCAGAAGATTGATGATATGTTGTGTTATAGGAAGAACAGAGGTCTTACTGGGTTAGCTGAATTGGGCCACGGCCGTAATATTTCTGGCCAGCAGCGCATGGCCATT